TCTCTCTCTCTCTCTCTCTCTCTCTCTCTCTCTCTCCACATTAGTAACTGCCTTTGTCCGTGCTGTAACGGATTGGGCTCCGACGAGGACCTGTTATTGCCAATAACTTTTGATAGAGACAAAGAGTAGGTAAAGCCGGAGATTTGAAAAATCCCTGTTATTACCGGATCCCTGTTATTACCGGGCCTGTTATATATGGTTTCCTCTGTAGTCCATTTTTAGAGACTATATCTCTGGTGACTCTTAATATAGATGACATATTATTATGTCAGATGATGTAGAATTTATTTAGCTTTAAATTGGTATGCTGCATGAGTGGGTAGCGCAAAGCTTTAACACGATGATTGAATGATTACATTTTCAAGTTTCTTTTGGATGCCACTGTATATGTCTGTGCTAAATGAGGGGTGCAAAATAACGACAAGAAGCTTCATCATTAAAAAGAGAGGTACAGTAGTATCCACTTATTTTTATTTTTTTTTAGTAGAGGGTTTTACGGCGCTCACAACTGCATAAGGTCATATGAGCGCGATGTATCCACTTAACGGCACCCCTTAGAAAACCGGCTTTGGTTGCTGTTAGGCGGACGTTGCTGCTAGCTGAATTTTCAAGTTGGGGTGGGGTGGGGGTTGGGGGTCTGTAAATATTTCTAAGATAATAATACCCCCCCCCCCACACACACACACACACACACATGCAAGCATGCATGGGTCCTAATTCTCAGAATATGGTGATATTATGTCAGAAAGTGAGAACTTAGGCAGTGTTCGAGCATATTTGCGCTAATGTTATGCACAGTGGTCGAGACTTCCCTTCAGACTCTTGAAGGAAGGTGGCTGTAGACAAAAAGGTGTGAACTAAGCTCCTGTACTCAGCATAGTGCATTTTTGGTCTGGGCAGTTGTTTTGAGGAGATACACAAGAGAGGAGTGAAGCACACACACTGAAATTATAGGCCAGTGTTAGTGTTCTCAGTTTTTGGATCTTTAAAAAAATTTTCTACGGACAATTTACAGCAACGAAGGTTGCTGTTAGAGGAAAAGGTAACTGTGAAAGGGGGTTATTTGTGTAGTAAGAAACATTTTGATTACACAAGCTTTAGTTGGTACTAGGCAGAGGTTGCTCATATCTTGATTGCTGTTAAGTGGACACCACTGTAAATTGTTTCAAATCATTAGTGTGCATGAAATCTGTTTTAGATTACTTTGCCTTTGTGCTGCTTAGGGGTCAATCCAAAATAAGATGATAGATAAAAAAATGTATTTTGCTGTCTCTGTAACTAGAACATTTTCGTTAATAGTCTTTACTTTTCTTTTGATAAGGCATAAAAAATTTACCAAGTGGTGACAGCTCTTCATATGAGTTCAAGGTCCCTGCTCCACTCTTTGAAAAGAAGTATCCAGCTCTGGTAAAACAATACAATTCGAACTCCAAAAAATCTTCCCAAACCGGAGCTGCAGAAACAGGTATTCTTTGTTTTTAACCTTTTTTGTCAACCCCTTCACTGCTGTGTGAACATGTTTCACTCATACGGTGCGATAATCTGCCGTCCAGTGCTGTGTAAATGTTTATCGTACGGTGGCTAAAACCTGTGTATTGTTTCGTTCATATTTCACTTTCTATTAAGTTTTGAATAAAGAGAGTGACATCCCTTGAAAGCTTATCGTTTTAGCTATGAGGTCATAGTAGATATATATATCTATATAGACTATTGGATGGAAAGAGCGGGTTCTGAAACGCAAAAACAAAGCGAGGTTTGTTGTTTTTCTTACATACATTGTGCTAGATCCGACGTGACATCTTGTGGACGGCAGATTTTCCTGAGTGTGAGGGAAACATATGGTTAGCAAGGGGTTAAAAATTATTTTATTTTACAGCTTTTCTCAAGACTTAGAACACATCTATAAATATGGTTATTTTTGTCAATGTACGATCTCACTTGTTTTACATGGCTTGCTGTTTGACAGATTTGTGTAGCAAGGAATCATGAGGAATCTTATATTTCAAAATGTATACCCTATGTACTTCATGTTTATGAGCCTCTTTACTTTCAATTTCTTCATATAATTACTTCCCTTCTCTGTATTTTTTTCGTACCCTCTCAGTTACCCCACAACTGCTATTTGTGTTGTCTAGCAAAATAGTCTATGGTTACAATTACATATGGGCCATACATAAGTGTTGTGCATGCAAACTTTAATGTTGAACAGAATGTTTGTAGTGCTCAGAGAGATATCCCTCGCCCCCAACTTCTATCTTACATTCTCATTCTTGCTTACTCTCTCTCTTTCTTCTTTTTCCAAGTGTCAACAATTTCAATATATCATCATTCTGTAGGCTGGAAAGTAGCTTTACAGACATCAACTCATTGGCTTCAATATGAGTCATTATAAGTGGACACTAAAATTTAAGCTGCATAATTTTAGATACTGTGGCTTTTATCAGTTCTGCTTTCTCTGTAGATTATGTAATTAATTAACATCAATAGTCTTCCTTTCCAAGGTGGGGTTTTGAGGCTATAGCACGTGTTGCTACAACATTTCTTGATAAAAATTAAAAAAAAATAAGTTATGAGCACTGGGAGTGTACACACCATTACAAGATGTAAAGATAAGAATTTGAAAAATGAGTTTTTTGTGTACTTTTTTCAAAAGATAAGAGAGTCTTTTACAATATTTATTGTAAATAAAGAGCATCCATATAACACAATTTATATCTTATTTTCATTCGGGGTGATCTGATTGGATCTCTGCAAACTGCTCACTTTATAATTTTATAATTTTCAAGATTATGCTTTTTCTGCAGGGAAAAGGAAAGGAAAAGTTGAAGAAGGCAACAAGAGAGTCACGGATTTCTTTCAAGTTGTCAAGAGCCAAAAAACAAGGGAAACAAAAGACTAATGACACTTGAACATACTTACATGAATATTATAGCTTACAACTGTTTGATTTACTCAAAATATAGAATCTATTGCTCATTAATTTATAATCTATACATTAGGGATGGGATTGCAAGTGTGATTTGATACCCTGGTAATACCTGGGTAATGAAAAAAACACCTGAGTACCCGTCGGGTACCTGACTTTTCAATTGTAATTTTTTTGGGGGTAGGATGAATTTTCTTCTTCCTTTTTTTTTGTTTGGTGCTTTTTTTTGGTTGTTTTTTTCTGTTTTGTTTTCTTTCTTTCTTTCTTTTCTAAAACTTTAATTTTATATTAAAAATCAACACAAATTAGACGCAACAAAATAAGCGTACGCGAAAATGGGGAATTCAAGACAATGAGTCTAACAGAACTCTCTATGAAGCCAACGACTTAATGACATAAGCAAAAGACAAGGAAGACAGACAAAACATATTACACATGCTGGACTGGTAAAAAGGGGGCCAATCATCAAAAATTTTTGTTTAAACACAAAAGTTTGTCCACATGTTTTTCGCCATGGCAGGTCCTCTTTATTGAAATCAATTCACCAGCCTTGGGGAACAGCCGTTCTGACGAGGCAATTGTTGCTGGAATAGCCAAAAGCTGTATAGCTTCCTGACTGAGTTCCGGAAAGGCTTTTTCATATTGACTCCACCAGGTCAGTGGATTGTCCTCTCCCCTTCTGGCTAGGGGCATCTCAAAGTACCGATTCAGTTGGACTGTGGCACTTGTTTGTGACAGAGATGTTTGCCTATGCTCCTCTTCTTGCTCGTCGAATGCTTGCCACAATGATTTTTTTGCTGGAGGTTCTGTTTCAGCAGCTTAAACCGATGATTGATGATGAGCCTGGTGTTTGATCGGGTCTGTCACCTTGTTTGTCTCTAATCAGTGAAAGAAGGCAAGTTTCTATTTTTTTTAGTTGCACCTTCACTGAAAGGAAGCCATTTCTAACAGGGGTCGAGGATAGTTGATGCAGCCTCATAATACGTGTCCTCGAGTTCTGTGAAGCTCACTCTATATTAAAAAAACTGCCAGTGGCCAATATCGATCGAGTATTGTATCGAAGAAGAGAGCCCAGTGTTAATAGGTACTCAGTATTTATTAAGGTCTGAACGAAGGGATGTAATTTAAGTGCATTTGCATAGGATTTAACAAAGGAGAGTAGACAATCCGTGTACCGGACACCAATACCCGAATATCAGGTTTTTAGCTCTTTACCTGGGTACCCGGGTCCAAGTACTTGCCCAGCCCTACTATACATGTGTATTGTAAACATGTCTTCATCCATAAAATGTACTGGCCATGAAACAGAAGCATTTTGTTTTCTCATTTCCCTTTAAAAATACCCAATGCTTCCTGCTGCTATGAACGTATATGTACTTTTGAATGTCAAACTGACCCTGTGCAGTTGGTTAGTCTTTATATTCATGATCTTATGTGTTGTATGTGTTAAGGAAAATAACACATGTTCTCATTTTTATCACTTTACAGTTGACTTGGTATTGGATACCTAAGGTGAAACTGAATTCTTTTACAACATTTTATATATCTATATATGTATATATGTAATATTTGTAAATTTTTAATACAAAAAATTACTAGATCTATGAAATTTACATCGTTTAATGTCATAATTACATCTCAGCAAAAAAATGAAGGGAAAACCGTGATCGCTGATGTCTGTAACAAAAATCTGTCACTTGGTGATAAATTCATTTATTGTAATCATTACTTCATATTATATTCCAAGTTTTTTAAAATGATGTTGTCAAAATTTCATTGTATTTTGTACTTTGGAAATAAAAAATATTGTGATATATCGCCATCATGCTTTTGTTTTGTATTTACAAAATAATACTTTTAAATCATACATCATAATATCATTCGTTGTTTCTCCACAATGCTTTTCAACAGATACAAGTTAACTCTATATGGTCGCTTTTAAGCTCAAGGGGGCTATCCCAAAATGCTGTTTTGAGAAAATCGAAGGTAAAGTTTTTGCCCTTTGTTCAGTTTCTTTAAAAGACATGGTAAGTTTTCTCTATAACCAAACAAATATACACACCAGTGAAACCAAACTTCTCCTATAGGTATGGCAACGCCCACTTTTGGTGTAGGTCAAGATTTCTGGAAACCCCGATATTTGGGTTAGCCTGCTTGTCCTTAAAAGCGACCATATGTACAGTCGAACTAGCTCTAATGACAGCTTGTCCAAGACTTGTGCAAGCGACCACTTCCCATTTCTCTTCTTGCGTTTTTTTCTATTTATATCAAAATGACACCATTTAACAGGTCCATCCATTTCAGATAACTGCTTTTCTCCTCAATGTGGTCACCTTGTACCAGTTCGACTGTATATATGTGTGTGTATATATACATATATATATAAAATTTGTGTATCAAATTAGTCAGATCCACTATTTTTACAATTGATGAGGAAAGTGCAGGTAATTTCCAGTAGAGAACCAACATCAAACGGAAATTTTGCCACTGATTGCATGACTCCCCCCCTCTAAAGATCATAAATCTTGATTGAGACACCGAGTGTTCTTTCCAAGTTGTATACATTCCATACAAAGAACCTCTGAGAGCACGTTAAAGATCCCTTGGTGGTCTAAAATCGATAAGAGTAGGCTTCGGCTGCCACCCGCACAAAATTCAAAACTTCCTACCAACTGAAAATGTTTAATGTGTCCTGCGCGCTCAAATGACCTTATGCGCCGTAAAACACATACCAAAAAAAAACACACAAAAAAACAACAACTCTGAAATTTTTTATCTTGTAGGTCTTAGAACCAACTCGGTCTCAAGTTAATAACTACTCTTATTGTAATGTATTTTTGTATTGTCCAATTACCTTATGCACTAAAATTTCATGCTGTAGTTTTACTCAGTTACTTTAGTTTACCCTTGCAGCAGAGATAATATGTATACATACAGGGTGTCCCAAAAGTCAAGCACCATCCTGAAAACCCCCCCAGCTTGATTCATATCAGTCTTTAATAAAATGCTTGAATTGAGCTCCCTCAGAAACAAAACAAGCTTCTTTCAAACTGTTAATTTTCATGTATCAAGAAGGCTTGTAGTGTGTAATTGACTACCTGTTCTTGTTGTGCCATAATTTGATGTGCCACTGTCTAAATTCAATTAAATAATCTTGATCATCAGTTGGTGTCTGACTCTCCAGTTGTGTGTGTTAGTGTTAATTAGCTTTACATGTTGTCCATGTCTGTGTCATAACACCAAATTTTAACATTGCGCTCATTACCCACAAACTCATCACAGAAAAAAGGTATATTCAATACTGGTCCAAATAAATTTTTGAATCTAGAAATGCATCGATTACTATGGTGCGGTCAAAAATTTGTGGCGCAACTTATTGTCAAATATTTCCCAAACTATTGAACATAGACTCTCCAGCTTTTGCACAATGACTTGTACTTGTATCAGTTTGTCTTGACAGATCAATATTTTTGTAAACACCTGTAAGTTGTAATCTAGAAAAATCTATTATCACTAATAAAAATTCCAAGGGGGTGGTTTCTACAGATTTTACAATGTTTACAACCGGGGCTATGTCACTTTAAAAAGCAAGCCCATATTTTTTTTGGTAATTGTGACACTATCATCTTTATTGAACGCTTGTTTTGAGAATCTTTAGTGCAAAAAATATGTTCACTATATAATGAATCTTTTGTGACAAGTTTGGCCAATAAAAAGTGTCATTGGTGAGCTGTGACTTAGGATGCAAAATGTGTATGAGAAGCAGGAAGTGCTGTGAACAATCCCATTTTCCGTGTGATGGAGATTTATAGTATTTTATATAAATTTATGAAGAAAAGTTTTTTAATTTCAATTGTTGTGGAAAATATGATTTAGTTCAGACAAATTTGTACAAACTGCTGTGCAAAGCATGGATAACATTGATTCACCCTTTAAAGAGATATTTGAGGATAATTAAGTTGTGTCACAATTTTGACGACACTATTGTAAAATTTTACATGACTGGAATAAGTTGTTAGAAAGGCCTGAAGTGACCCTTGCAAAAAAGCAATATTTTGTCTCATGCTTCAAACTTATTATATATGTATAAAAAGAAAAAATGAGTTGGAACACCTACCACAAGGCACAAACTGCTCAGTTTGAATGTGGAGTTTTTGGCCCAAAAGTTCAAAAAGACGGAAGAGAGGATAGAAGATAGAAACCATGCGGATACAGTATCACTCCGGTATCCATATTTGTCATGTTGGCAATAAGACAAAGAATGGTTTGAGTTCTTGTTCGACTGCTTCAGAATTAACCCCCCCCCCTCTTTTTTTTACACCCTTGGCACACATGAAATGCTTACCATTGATACCAAATCTTTAGGCCTATCAATTCAATTAGAAAGACAGATGCTGCACAAAACAAACTTCTGTGAAATGGGAAAGCAAAAATAATAATTTTTAAATTCATGATTAGGACGAAGTTGGCTATCATGACCTTAGTTTTGCTTTGTTGAATGCATACTTTAATCACTTTTTAATTTCAAAATACATTTAGATGTATTTTTAGTTCATTCTAATTTAGAGTGGAAAGTGAAATGAAAAGAAGACATAGACACAATCTAAACCCAGAATCCTGGAACAAAGACGTTATGATTTGGTGGAATACCATTCTATTACTACCCCTTCCTCATAGTTTCAATTTCGGACGTACCCAAGGAGGTTACAGTAAGCTTCTTGGGACGTCAGAAGTGCCTTCCCTTCACGCAAGTTTGATTAAAAAAATTATGTGTGTGTGTGTGTGTGTGTGAGTGTGTGTGTGTGTGTGTGTGTGTGTTTGTATGCAATATGTGTGTGGGGTGGGGGTGGTGGGGGGGGGTTGGCGGGTGTGTGGAGGGGGGAAATGGCATAGAATTGAGAAAAAATTCACTACAATATTCTCTAAATTTTCACAGAAAAAAAGATGTATGAAAGAACAGGTAGTGGAGTAAGGAAAAAGGAGGGGTGGGTTTATTTTCATTTATTGAATTAGGATTGTAGCTTTCTTTCCTTGGTGTTTAATAAATATATGAAAAAATATATAGATAGATCTAGATAAATAAATAAAAATAAATAAAATATATATAAATTTAATTTATAAGGTTACACAATTTTTCGAAGTGAAAAATGGAACAGTTGGCAACCGGAAGCAGAGATAACTCTTATGAATGAAGAAGAGAGGAAGAGGAAGGTCAACAAACAAAACCACGAACCGTGTCTCTTGACTACAAGTCTACCCAAGAAAATGATTGGCGCTTTAATTTTGGTAACATTTCCCAGAGCTAATTTTGGAAACGTATCTATACTATAAAGTCCTTGGAACTCATTACAGCGCAATTTTGTGTTCGAGTGGGTCTAGATGTAGGTGGCATGCTTATTTCGGCCAGACGCCACTGAAACGGGGCTATTCCAGTGGTTTTTTTTGCTGACCGACTGAAGTCACAGGGCACAGGGCTGCACCCTCTTCGTTCTGTGGTAACACTTAATAATAGCACTCTAAAAGAACCAAAATCGAGACACTTTTTTGTTGTTTAGAAACTTCCAGTTCCTTTGTGACAAATAGATCTTGGGAAGGACTTCCGTAACGAGCGACCACCCCATCAAACACAATATAGAAGAGGCCTTAGACCTGACCCTAACCCTAACCCTAACCCTACTGGCCTACTCCTAACTCTAACCCTAACCCTAACCCTACCCTTACCCCTACTCCTACCCCTACCTCAAGCCCTCAATTCTGCTCTGTCTCATAGTGGTCGCTCGTTACGGAAGTCCTCCCAGATCTTGAATCTAGATAGGCTAGAATCTAGATCTAGCTAGATTTCTAGATTTGGAGAAGGCCACCGGGGTGAGAATAGCGCAGGCGAGTCTTTTGGCTATTCTCACCCCGTGTGCATTCACCGTTATCCTAGGCCAACCAGTGTAGCGTTCACCCTGAACCACAGAATTCTACACTGTGGTAACAGAATTGTAGAATTCTGTGCCGTGAACAAACGTTCCATTACTACTGTTCGCCTGAAAGTGTGCAATTTTGTCTGTGGGCAGTGGAGAAAGAGAGAGAGCGAGAGGAGTAGCGCGAAAACTTCCTGGCAAAACAAAATGGTGACCTGCGTAGTTCGGCTCGATTCGAAAAGTTAAATAGCCGTAGCATCTTTGTAGACGACCAAATTAATTTACTTTTGTGTTTTAACATCATTTTTTAACTTTGTTTTTATCAATTTGATCATACACACTGATAGACAGTATTCCGAAATGAGGAAAAACAGGTCTTGTTTCACACCAGGTGAGAATAGTGAATAGCCAATGCTGGCAAGTCTCACCCGAGGTGAGAGGTAGATTGTATTTTTATTCTCACCCTGGGTGAGGATAGCCACTTCCTTTGGAGAATGTCGTCATCAGATAAAACTAGATCTAGGCGGTAAATTTTTACTTTCACTCCCGCACACAGATGCACTGCCTCTGGGATCGAACTGCAGTAAGTACTCTTTGCTGCAAATCACACTTAAAGCCACTAAATCTGTCGCAAATCAATTATTTTCAAGAAAATTTCAATTCTAACTGTAAAATATCAAATTATGGGTTAAAACAGGCCCCCCTGTAACCCCCCCAGGTTTTCTTTTACTCCAGCGCGGCAGGCCCACCTAGAACCCCCCAATTGGTCCAAAGCAAGTCTGTCTCGATTAAGAACAGATCAAATATTTCAAAAACTATTAATTTGTGACGGAAATGAAGTTGATCGTGTTCAGGGCATTAATATTTAGTAGAAAATGGACAACTGGTAGCTACGCGTGAGACGGGAGGGAAAGTAAAAAAATACCAACTAGGCTACTAATACTATTAGAATCTATTATCTTGATCTGTCTTCCTCACCTCCCTTCATCCTTATTCCTTCTTCTAGAATACAGTCTTCAAGACTTTCCCCCTCCATTTCTTTCACTCCCGCCCACAGATGCACTGCTTCGGGGGTCAAAGTGCAGTACTGTTTGCTGCAGATCACACCTAAAGCCACTAAAACTGTCGCAAATCAATTATTTTCAAGAAAAGTTCAAATGTAACTAAAATATCAAATTATGGGTTAAAACAGGGGGGGGGGGAGGCAGATTTTCTTTTACCCCCACACACCCCCTGGAACCCCCCCGATTGGTTCAAAGCATGTCTATCTCGATTAGGAACAAATATTTCAAAAACTATCAATGTGCGATGGAATTGAAATTGATATTCGTGTTCAGCACATCAATATTTACTAGAAAATGGACAATGGTAGCTAAGTGTGAGATGGGAGGGAAAGTAAAAAAATACCGCCTACCTATTGACATAGATCTAGATCTAAATATCTAGATCTCTTTATAAATACCATAATATATGCCTATTTGTTTTAGCCCTTTTAGTGTGATATCAGATATGTTGCATGTACCATAAATTTTAGGCCTAAAGCATATAAGATCTGATAATAAGTCAATTCAAATGGTAAGTGTTTAACGGCTTTCAACTGCATAATGAGCGTGCGGGACACATTAATCATTTAAAACATTTTCAGTTGTTAGGAAATTTTGAATTCTGCTCAGGTGGCGGCCGAAGCCTACTATTATCGATTTGTGGACCATTAAGGGATCTTTAACACATTACACCCTAACTCACCCGCGACCGCCCGGGAATTCCCTTACGCACTCCACCCTGACTCGCCCAGAACCGCCCGCACTGACCTAGCGTCTTTAGAAACGAAGTCTCGCCTTGACGAGACTCTGGGGCGGAGATTTTGATTTGCATAGTTATTGCAAAAAATTTCTTCTTTCGTTTAATACCGAAACGAAATTTTTCGGGCCAGTAGTTTTAATATTAGAGCTGATCGAAGTGCGTCACTTTGAAGGTGTCTCGACTTGTTGAAAAGTGACACAAAGAGTTCGAAAAAGGAAATAATGATGGATTTGAGCAAAAACAAAAATGACAAATCAGATGATTCAGATTTTGATGAAAACGTAGCAAGAGTTTGGGGCAATTCAGATTGATCGGATGTTATGTAAATCTAGAATTTAGATCTAGGGCCTGATCGCGAAGCTGAGAGTGAGAGTGACGGGTTGGACACCGCGATTGAACTAAAGGTAGAACATTTCCAACAGTTTGTGCACACATATAGTTATTTCTCTGAAACTACATTCATTTTTCTTTTTAACTTTTATTTTTTCAGGATTTTTGGAATTTGTTTAGTATTTTTAAAATGTGTTTTTTAAACGCTTGTATTCACGGGAGGTGGGTTCCTTCCCCTTGCTTAGGATCTAACAATGGACTTCCCGCCCAGACCCTTAGGGTGTAATGTGTTAACATGGGCAACTTGCACACGGGACCTCCGAGATTTTTTGCCCTTGTCCAAGAACGCTAGGTGTAGATCTTTCCTACTACAGTAGTCTCCGCCTAAGATCCTGGTGCTCGGGAGCAAAGGAAATGCGGGATCTTAGGTGAACCGGGATCTTAACGCCTGGAGGGAACCCAACCCACCCAGGGAGTGATGTAAGTTTAGGGGGAGAGCTCAGGTGTGAGTGTGATGCGTGGGGGAAAACAAACGTGTTGGTCAGTTCACACATCGGTGTGACCCCGTCTGGGGCAAACATTGTATCGCTTCATAGAGTTTTACAACATGTATGTGATTACATTCACGATAGTTGCTGATCTTTGACGCAACGGACAGTTTATTGATCTTAACTTTTCACTCTTGATTGATTGACTGTGCCCGCCCGGGTTTTTGTTCCGCAAATTATGATCTGAAATGTGTGATTTTAGCCGAATGTAGACCTTCAGAGTGAATCAGGGCGGGATCTTAAGGGGTGACTTTTGTATAGTAAAAATGATGTTTTCTTAAAACAGCGGGATTTTACGCGAACCGGGATCGTAAGCGGTGGGATCTTAGGCGGAGACTACTGTATAAGGTCAGGGGTGTGGCTGAAAGACAGCAGTAAGAAGGAGCCGGGGAGTAGCAATAGAAAGGCTGCAGAAAGAGTCAGGAGCCCAGAGAAGGGAGCAAAGGAGGTGAAGGGGTGGGGGCAGAAAATGGGGGCGAAAGTAGAACATTTGTCAAGAGCAGGAAATGGGCTGAAAGGAGACAATTATTCGAATTCGGGACCTTTTGAATGAGAGGCGAACACCGTAACTTTTAGGCCATGAAAGCCCCCAAATGAACGTTTGAGTGATGAACAGGATGATGGAATTGGTAATGAATAGGTTGAAGTGGTCAATCCATGGTTCAGGGCGTGTTATGGTGAAGAACCAAGACATTCAAGACCTCCTGCATTTAATTTTACCTAAAATACTGAACATTTGTTGAACCACTTCGCTTATTGGGCATAATTTCCATTTGTGAAAGACTGACAAATCAGAAGACTTGTCCTTTTATTCTCCCATAGTTTTGATATAATAAGCAATGGAGTAGCATTCAACTTTCCTGTGTTTATTTAGCAGATGTAGACATTATAATTCGAGTGCAATTTGTTTAGTAGATGAAATAAACCCCAACTGATCAAAGAAATTAAGGTCCTTGTACATGTCACGGTAATAAGTTGAGTGGCACTTGAGTGTTCAGGCATGTTCACTTTGCTTGGTGTACTGAAAAAGGACTGGACGTCAAGTTGGCTCAAGTTCTTAAGCGAAGAAAGCAAAATTTCAGAGGGGAGAGAAAAAACTTTTTTTCTTTCGATAATTATACTCACATTATGTATTTTTGTTTTTTTCAATGCTTTAATTTGAATTTCAACAAAATATATCTACACACATGCAACTCATACCTCATTTTAAAAAGAAACTGCAATACATTTTTTTTCTCCAAAATTCTGGCATAGTAATTTTAAAAGCTGGCTGATGATGGAGTTTTTATTCTCTTTGATTTGACCATCTACTTTACTTTTATCCGCCGCTTATACCCTTTTGGGTGTCATGGGAAGAAAGAGACATCGCTCTACCACCAGCCAGAGAGCTTGGGTCAGGGGGATGCTGTGAGTTGTTAATGTTTCCCTGACTCCATCTGTCCAGGTCTTTCTCGGTTGCTCCCTAGCCTTGTTGCCATCAATTTTTTTTAAATGTTGGCACGTTGTGCTGGGTGGTGTGTTGGTAATCGCATGAGATGTCCAAACCATTTGATTTTGATTCTTTGGTGTTGGATGTGATGCATGACATCATTTGTGCCCACCATTTCTCTGATTGCTGTGTTTCTAATCTTGTCTTGCCTGGTCTTGTTTACTGTTTTTCTAAGGCATCGCATTTCACATGTTGTAAGTGGGTGGTTGGCGGGTGCTCTGGTGTGGTTTGCTTCTTCTTTCCTATCAAGCATCTATCATCCTTATCTCCCCTTCTTCTTTTTTATGTTTGTTACTCTCTTGTAACGCTTCTAATCTTCTGGCGCTCATATGACCTTATGCAGTTGCGAGCGCCGTAAAACCTCTACTAAAACTAAAACATGTTGTAATTCTTTGCTCTAATGTCTTGTTCAAGGTCCATGTTTGGCTTTGATAGGTGAGTGTTGGGATGAATATATGGTGCTGATCATTTTGAGTTTTGTTGTCATGGGGATGATAAGGATGTTTCAGTAGTGGAGTAAACTGGTTAATAACATTATTGGCGTTTTGTACTCGTGTTTCAATTTCTCTGTTCAGTTGCCCATCCTCTGAATATAATATACTTCCGAGGTACTTAAATTCTTGGATCTGTTTGAGACTATTGTTGTTGACGTGGATCCTGAGTGGTCCTGGCTTTTTGCTTACTTTCTTTGTCTCTGTTTTGTTGATGTTGATTTTCATGTCTTAGTTGTTACATTCTACGTTTAATCTGGTGGTGTTGTGTTGGAGACTTCGTTCATCTTTGTGTGCCAGGCTTTGGTCATCAGCGAAGAGTAATTCATTTAGGGCGTCTGGTTCTGTGTTGGCCTCATTTGTAATTCTATCCATATATATGATGAATAATAGTAGTGATAGGACACAACCTTGTCTTACTTCGGATGTTATCTCAAACCATTCTGTGAGTCCCTCCGACGTTCTTACGGTACTTATGCTGTTCTCGTAAATGGCACGGATGTTATCTAGAAATTGGCCTCTTACAGTGTAGTTTTCAAGTTCTTTCCACAGCCTGCTTCTGTTCACTCTGTCGAACGCTTTCTCCTGGTTGACAAATACTGTTTAGTTCCCTGTTGTGTTGTATTACCCTTTCGCACATTTGTCGTAGGGCAAATATTGCATCGGGGCATCCTCTTCCCTTTCTAAATCCCATTTGGGCCTCACTCAGACAGTGAAATTCCTCTATACATTCCACAGTCTCTCTTGTTGCCTTTCTTCTATTTGTTTTTTTTTTCCAATAAAATACATGTGTCCCTGCCGGTCAATGTCTGTCATATGAAGAAAATTTCAAAACTGAGTTAACATTATTTTCTAAAACTATCACCTTTTCCCTACAATTTAAAACAAGAATGAAGTAAATGTGACCATATTTGACGATAATACAGGACTTTCAATTGTTCGAGGTGAGGAAAACTGAGAAAATGGCCTCCAAAGTTGAGCAACATGTTTCCATAGCAATGGGGATCTTAGAATTGAGATAGAAACTTAAAATTTAGCAGTTATCTTAGCTATGCCACTACAAGGTAACATACAGAAGTAGAAAACTATTCATTCATTGAGAAAAAACTTATGGACAAAACAAAATTTTCCCGAGAATGGACTTCACATCAAATGCAAGAAAATATTAGCATTATGCTACGTACCAGATACAAAATTTTCAAGGGAGCTGTATGTCAAATTCATCTTTTTCATATGAAAGGCCTATGTCTTCTGAGAATTTTGTAACCATACTTTTACCTCTCAGTCAATGTTTAAGAGAATGGCAGCTGTTTCAATTTAACCTAATGATAATCAAATATTGCTGAAATCGTTAACTGTCTGCAACCCCATGTTTGACAGATAATAAAAGAGTATCAAGTGCACCAAACATCTCTACATTAACAGAGTACTATCATTATAACAAAGAAATGAAGCCTAATTTTTTTCAAGACTGAGATTATTACAAATCAGTATTTTATTGCTTGAAACACAATGCTTTTTCGTTATTTCAATAAAAACACAGAGCGTTGTCCCAGCCGGTGCCGCACCAGCCCTTGCTGCGAAGCAGTCGACTCAATACTGTAGTGTACTGAGTGCTCCCGGCAGTTTCACGGAAGGATTCATGCAAAATAATTCCAAGCCGATGACTTTATTCTAATAGAAAAAGAACTGTTCTTTCTATTGGTACCTTTTTTAGCTGGTCCTTCACACATTTCTTGTTAAAAATGATCTTTGAAAACTAAGACGCTTTTTTTCAAGGTTTTTCTATCAAAATGCCAAAGGCCAAAAATAATAATCACCGGAAACCATGCTTAAAGCTGTATAGTTCTCTGCCAATGAAAAGACGCTATTTAATCATCAATCTTTCTGCCAAGCATTCGAATGCATGGGTGTCAATTTTGAACCGGCTGACCTGGCATTCCAACCGCGAGGGGCTTCCCTTTCCTCGGCGATTCTCTAGCTCCAAATGCTCGGATATACAAACAACTTACACTATTGCAAGGAAGAAAATCTGAACTTTTTCAAAGTGTTCAGCATTTGATGTTTTACAGCAAAAGAGAAAAGAAACAGAGATCTGAATTACCCACATTTTTCCGAAACGACGCACTCGGAAAGCCGGGAGTGGGCTTACGTGCCGTGTTTGCACTACCTAATTATACGTTTGCAATAGCACCATAAACACAGGAGAGCACACACACACACACACACACACACACACACACACACACACACACACACACACACACACACACACACACACACACACACACACACACACACACACACACACACACACACATGCACACAAGCCTACAAACACACCAACACACAAACTCACGCATGCACATAGCCTCTTGTTAAGGAGTCCACTTTAAGAGATGTAGAGGAAGGTTAATTAATCTTTTAAAAGCACTAAAGCACAATAAAAAAACATTTTTAAGTCAATCCAAGTATAAAACTGAAAGATCAACAGACGATAACAACTAACAGGGCACGCCCGCACAGTCAGCTGTTTATGTAAACAAGCTTGAAGTGAGCCAGAAGTTACCGTTTTTACTCTGTCTTACCAATCAGAGTTGTTTACATTTCTGACCATTCATGCTCGAAGAGGGGTCAAAATCTAAAAATAGTTGCGAATGAAGAATGTTGAAGCAAAGATACTCCACTAGTGGAGAATCTTTAGTTGAAGCAAAGGTGGCCATGAGGTAATGGTTCTAAAAATTATCTCACAGCTACACTCTAGCAATGTCCAAATCCCTTTATCTCATCACCCAAGCTCTCACAAACCACACACGCCTCCAAAATAGATCAAAATAAAATATTTATAGTTGATTATAGTTGTTTATTTTTATCTTAAATGAAGCAGAAGACATCAAACTTTCAATAGATCCAAAAAACAAAAATTTCATTGAAAGTCACTTTTTTGTATTTCGAGCCTCGTAGCTGATAATATCACACTGCGTCTTAGGACTGATATTGAGCGGGGGAGACAGATATGTATAAGGTGATGGAAAGAAAGAAAAATAGAAAAATAAAAAATGTTATGTCAATATGCGTGGAAGTATCATGGCATACTTCTCTTTGTGCCAAAAGATTTATGAAGTAGCTTTCTTGAACAGATTTTTAGTGGAAAATTTTATTGGAGTCAGCAAGTAATATAATTTTTTTTTGTCTGTTTCAGAGAAGACCATGACATACGACCAGAAGAAACAATAAAAAAAAGGTGTAAAGACATGAACGATTGATGAGTGCACAAGAAAACCTCAATATGACCTCAAAATCAGGCCATCCCGACAATGCCAGGACATACAAGCTTGTTGTGGTTGGGGATGGAGGAGTTGGGAAGTCTGCCCTGACCATCCAATTTTTTCAAAAACTGTTTGTTGTGGACTATGATCCCACCATTGAAGATTCCTACTTGCAGTATACAGAAGTGGATAGTGAGTGGTGTATGCTGGATGGTAAGAACTTTTGGGATTTATTTGGCTCTTGATTTCATATAGTTTTATTCCTTGTAAGGCCATACAACTTCATAAAAAGTGAGGAATACAATGCATAAGTTGGAAGATAGCTTAGGCAGGTGATATTATGATGATGATGATGATGATGATGATTTTTATTATAATTATTAGTGTGAGCTGGAGAATGATTTTGCTTGCTACCTACGGGCAATGGCCTATTGGTATCTATGAAACGATTTGTTGTATCTTGGTTTACTATTGTGTTCCTTGTATATATTTAGTGAATTAATAATGTTGTACCTCGTATCTTTTAGAGCCTGATGAAAATTCCCAAAATATCTCATGGTTATGTTTGAACTGTACACACTTGACACATTAATATATTTTTGCCCATTTCCACCTGAGTTGCCTCCCTGAGCAGACACACCCAACTGGGCTGCCTTCAGTCACACATACAAATTTAGGTGCACACACTAAAAGTGCAATAATATAAAATATAACTTTCCCTCCAAACAGCCTAAAAATTAGTGGACAGTAAGTGTACGGATGTGCACGAATGGTAACTGTATAATAATAGTTTTTCTATTTGAACTTGGAAATGATGGACTGGAGCAAGTTTTAGAAAGACATTGAGGGAATCGGATTTTCTCGTGGTCGACTCGGGTGGCTGCCTGGATACGAGTATTTTCGCAGGCCGTTATCGATGAGTTTAATGTTTTTTTTCTAGAATGTAGAGGGATCTATTGACTGAATTTTTTTCTGAGTTGACTATTGTACGTGCTCACTTGTATTCTTGTATTTTCAAAGGACAAATGACAAAAACAAAAATTTGTTAAAAAGCAGCAAATTTCTGTAACATATATACTGTGTTGCAAAAGTTCTGTTACACCCACCTTAAAAGTACAATAACTCATTTACTATTCAACATAGTCAGGAGAAATGTGGTACCCGCGATATTTATTCATTTTCTGCCAACATGGCATGAAAAGAAATGACAAATGGCTTTCCTTATTCACACTGACCCATGCAGAATCCAAATCAAAGTTTGCTCAGTATGGCGTATGGCCTCTTCCAGCTTGAATTGCTGATACAAAACATCTGTTCGTTGACTGAATTAATGTCCCTATGGTTGTCTGAAGAATCCCCTGCCATTCCTTGTGCAGTGCAGCCTTCAGTTCCTGACGAGTTTATACGGAGTGCGGCCTGTTTATAATCCTCCAATCAAGGTAATCTTGCAGATGTTCTGATGGGTTAAGGCTTGTTGATCTTGCAGGCCAGTCCAGAACAGCGATTTGATGAGTTTGGAAGGAGATTCCACTGATCGTAGCCATTTGTGGTCGGGCGCTGTCTTGCTAGCACATTCCATCATCTATGCCATGTAGTACAGTCACCGTGACGAACAATTTCGTCACAATACCATCGTCGTTTGAGGTTGCTTTGAAAAGTAACCAAATGTATATGATAAAGAGCAGAGATTCAACGCCAAACCATCACATTTCAGCTACCGATTCGGGCCTCTTGGTGGATGTTTAATCTGTGAAATCTCCATCCTCTTCTTTTAAACACTTTTTCTCTTCCATCAATGCAACGAATTAAAAACCTTATTTTTTTTTTGCTGAAAAGAACACTTTTCCAACGTCTTTAGTTTTATCGCCAATGTTGATATGCCAAAATTTGTCGATTTCTTCGATGAAACAAGGTAAGAATGGCTTCATACAAAGGGAGATAATCACGTAATCCACAATCTTATAAATATGTCTAATAATGGTGTTTTAAGACAGTCTGAAGTGCTGGCAGTCTCTGCTCTTAGTAAGAACGGGTTTTGAACATGGGTGTTGACAATAACCTAATTCTGATGTTGAGTTGTCACCCTTAGTTGACCACGTCTTGGCTTGTATACGACAGTTCTAGTGGTGTTAAAACGTTTGTTCAAGCTTTATATGGTTCTTCTGCACACATTTACATGACTTGCAACAGCAGATAGTGCAATTAAAGAATTTATCATACACACAGCCCCTTTATTTTCTGAATTTAATTTGTTAGTTTTTTAATTTTGAAAACAGTCAAAAAACTACTCAATCGTTAAAAAGTACAGAATTTTATAGTGTGTAAGGAGTGCTTACACATTGTCTACTTGATTCAAAGCAAATGGTGTGTGTGGGAAGCGTTCGTTTTAACGCAGACCGAGAGAAATCAATACCAACACTTTTCCCACATACTACTTCTGGTTCTTGATTTCTTTCGTCTGCTCTTGCACAAGGAGTCTTATAAGTCACACAAGTCATACTTTCAATTTTTGCTGCAATTCTAATGCTGTACCGAAAATTGTCGTGATATAATGGGCGTGACATAATTTTTTACAACTCTGTATATATTATATTTTGGGGTAAATAGCATGCTTTGGAGACTGAACATCCACAGGAAAAATGTTGTAAAATTAGCATTATATTAATTGAGTATGAAATGTTTCATCCTGAGTCTGTTCTTTATTAATGTGTGCTTCATCTTTTCTTATACAAGATAGACTAATGAGCCCCTCTATTTGTAATGAAATGCTTTCCATGTTTTACGAAAGACTGAATTTTGTAGCTAAACTAAAACTAAAGTTTGGAGAAAAAAAATTGTCCTTTTACTTGTGGGAACAATGAACTTTAGTCTTACATTTTGTGGTGCTTCATTGGTTGATTTGTAATTTAGCTTGTTTTCTCATTTTTCTTTCTAATAGTGCTGGACACAGCCGGACAAGAAGAGTTCAGTGCGATGAGGGAACAATATATGAGGAAGGGTGATGGTTTCCTGTTGGTGTATTCTGTTACGGATCCACAGAGCTTTGAAAACATTGCCAATTTTCACACACAAATTTTACGGGTTAAGGACAGGTGAGAAAGGTTGTCTTTACTTCCTCAAGTGACAGAGCTCTTGCTATTTTCAATTTCACCATTAATGTATTGATTTTTTCTTTGGTTTGTTGTGATGATGCTGTTATGTTTATTCTCATACAGCTTACACTGTGTTTCCTTACCTTGTGGAAGGCCTCATGCTACTGTGGAATTTGGGAAAAGTCTTTTGACATTTTCTGTACCGTACTCTCTACTTAAAACATGTATAGAACCTACCAACAACCGTACCAACTCCGTTATGCCCGGGAAAAACTTTAATCAATTTTGGTGAAGACTGGGGGAACCTGAGAAAGGTATTTGGACACATGACTCTGTGTACATAACCTCTCTTTTTTCTAAACAAAGTGTGTTCCACTTCTATCCAGTTCTGTAAGCAATGCCAATCGGCTGCGAAATTTTGGTCGCCGTTTGTGAGTATAGTATTGGATCAGAACGAAGATGACTAACTTTCTCGAACTCGTTTGGCTCTATTTTTGGACTAATGTGAACGAAACTTGGCAACCAATCAGAAAATAGGGCAAACTAATTATATGTGGACACTGAAGTTTGTACACATAAATTAACCTATATTTTTGGTGTCCGAAACACTTTGATATCGGGTATTCCGCAAACTATGAGGAGCTTGAAGTTCAACGTCAAGAAAGTAAGAGATCTATCTTTCCTGTATAGTGTCCTCAAATTTGAACATTCAGTGTCAAGTAGTTTATTAGAATTTATCATAAATGTACCACTACCCCCCTGTCCTAAACGGCTTCGCATGAAGATGAGCCATTTTCCCCTCACCCCCTCGGCAAATGTCTGTGACCTACAAATCCCCGCATGAATATTCCAAGCCCGTTCATTGGTCACTTGAAATACGGCAATGGCGGGCGCGTGGATCCGGTTGTTTTTCTCTCTGTTCCCTTGTAACATCACACTTGGGGTATTCCAAGGCGAGCTTATCTCGCCTCAGGGTGTTCGCGTCTCAACGGGGAAAAAAGATTTTAAATTATACGGCATGTTAGATTGAATTGAATTATATTTTATGGTTGGCATGGTCTAAAGTTATTAAAGAAAGCTTTGCCACTACTTTGTCACAATGCCAACATATTTTATAGATCCCATGTTGTGATACGATGCTCTAAATAAAATGTTCTCATCCCGTCACCCCCTTTTCTCAAAATCATAGTATAGACACCAAAATTTTAATTATAACAAAATAACTACAAAATGGTTGGTAAATCTGACTTCAAAAATGATTTCTCCACCCAAAAACACATCGACTGGCGAAGCTTCTTTCTAAGACTTACTACTCACTGAGATATTGAAGATTTTTTTTACAGAGTCTGCTGTTACGTGGTCCACTTTTTTAAGTTTTTTCCTATATGTGGGAGATCCATATTTTGCCGACCTTTACAACCTCATAACTTTTTAATTTATGAAATGATTCTTTGAATTCAAAAAGCATAATTCTAAGAATTGGAAACTCTTTTGTAGGTACCAAATAAAAAAGGGCTAAAGCGAAAAATCAGTTTTTTTCTGGCATTGGTACTTCTGTTTGCTTGTTAAATGAATTTAGATAGTCGAGGACGGAAGTGGAAAAACTATTGAACTGAATAGTTTATGGCCATAACACAAATGATTCTATAAAACATTGGCTGAAAACTTTTAGTGTTTCATGGGTAAGAATGAAAAAAGATTTTGCTTTTATTTAATAATAATGGGGGTAAAACTAGATAACGGACATGGTCCTACAAGCTCAGTTAATAGAGTAGTAAATGGTGTAAAGTGGAATATGTCAGTTTTTACTTTGGTATCTTAGATACTGAAGCTGGTTTGATGGATTTGTTTGTTTTCTCCTGTTTTTTTTAACTTGAATTATCAAATTGCGCTCCTTATGAAATATTGGGGGGTTGATGATGCGGTTAGTATCTCCATCTAAGTTGTAACAGCATGATAGTGAATTTGATTTCCCATAATGCGATGCTAATCGCTTTATAAGCTCAGATACAACTTTTTAAAAAAATCGTTGAAATGGAATTAGAGGTTCAGATTATCCCAATGTGTCATCTTCAGGGATACTTTCCCCATGATTATGGCAGCCAACAAAGTGGATCTGATTCATCAGAGGGAAGTGTCAGAAGAGCAAGGTTTAACCCTAGCGGGGCAGCTCAAAGTAAGTTGTTGAATACTTTAAAGCAAACTCATATCTAGTCTTGGTCTTTGAAGAATACTTCAAGTATCTTAAACTGGTTTGTGTTTGTGGCAGTCACTCTGAAAAATTGTTATTTGCACTTTGTAGTCCTTTCAGTTGTCTTTCCTGCTCTCTTTTCTACTGTGACAATCAATGGCTAAAGAAAAAGATAATGTTGAGTAGTTCCCTTTATCTTTATCTTTGTAAACTTATAACAGGGAAATGAAGTTCTTGTGAGACTTTAAAGGTGGTAGAGATGGGGGCCTGTTACAGTTTTCATATTGCTATGTTCTCTCTCACTCTAGATAGTAACAGGATGCACTTTTTTCCCTTCTGAGGGTTTTACGCTGCCCCCCCCCCCTCTCCCCACCCCTAGGGAGTACTGTGCAGACTAAATGCTTGAAACATGACTTATGCAATTAAAAAAAATGAAACTGACTTCGTAAATAAATGGACCCTGTGAATCTGTTAGTATATTTATTATGTTTTGTTTTAGTTTCTTCTGAGAGATAAGGTTGTTTTTTTTTATGAGGCATTTTTTATTTCAATGTTATCAAAAGAATTGTTATGATAACTGAAATAGTTTCTATTATAGCTGCTCTTTTATACACCTATATTTACTCATCTTCAGCTTTCAAACTTAAAATTCAAGTATTAGCCACTTTCTTTTCATCTTGTCACCCTGAGACTGAAAAACCTTTGCATCTGAGCTGCTAGATTTATCACACTGAGGGAGGGAAAGAGAGAGAGAAAGAGAGAGAGAGAGATTGTCCCAGCTAATGTTGCACAGAAGGGTGAAGGTAGCTCTCACGGGTTTGTGGAGTTAAAACTCAACTCACCTGCAAATCTCTTACATTATAATCGATTTTAAGTATGATGCAAATCCGTTTCCTATCGTGAAGATACTTTAAGGGGAGACGTACAACTCCCGGAAAATTTTTCTAAACGAATGACTTTTATTCACTTTCATGTAATTGTGCAAGAAGTTCATAGGTAAATAGGATGTACTAGGGGTGAATTTGTTGAATTTTTCTGAAAAATGGGTCTCTGTGGCGGCCATCTTGGATTTTCAAACCAGTTTCTTAGTGCAGAAAAATTTCATAGTAAATATTGAATTATCAGCCTGAAATTTGGCACACAAGTACAAACCTATATGAACTGGGGATCCATGTGAGGATTTTGACCTGTCTTTAGAACTAAAAAAGTGAGCCCAAAGTCATTGGACCCCCTAGAGTCAGTTGACAAAATTTTGGGGTTCATATTACAAAAAAAGTTTGAATATTTCCACAAGTTACCAATATTTCCCAATTCCCCTACATACATCCCCGGAATAGATCTTAAAGCACCTGTACGCCAAATTTCAAGCTTCTAGCTTCAGTAGTTTTTGAAAACTCCTTGCACCCAGGAGGTCACATTTTTAAAAAGGATTTTTAGAGCAATTTGCACTTTTCATAGGTCATTTAGGGTTTTTTCAACAGTTTCTTCATTATGACCCGATAGACCAGATGTCAAAGGATGTTTTTCTGTAACAAAGAAAAGTGGGATAGTTTGAACAATTTTATTGATATTGTCTGGGATCGCCGACCCGTGTCTTCCCTTAAAGTTTAAGCAAACTGTCATTTTTTCAGTTGTTATGCTTTGAATCTGAAGTGTAATTTGTGTGCTTTTTCCTTTACTTATGCAGGTCCCATATATTGAGACAAGTGCCAAAGACCCACCTTTGAATGTGGACCTCGCTTTCCATGAAGTTGTCAGAGTCATACGGTAAGAGAAAGCTGTTCATTCTGTTGCAAATGGGTTTTTTAAAACTTATTGTCAGTGCTTTGATAGAACCTCGCTAATTCGAATTTTTGCGAAAGTCCTTTTTTTTTGCACTTACAGATTCCGTATGTCTTGCGGCAAAATGTATGTAAATATTAAATCCAGATTCAAACTACAAATTCTGGAAAAGACACTGTAAATTTTGTGTGAACCTCAATACCCAACACAATGACATAAGTGATCTGTTGAATCTATCTAAGGCGTGAAAGTGAGGTTGCAATGGCAACACTAGTTGAGCGACTCTGGTCAGTGAACCTGGCTATCTTCTCTCACATGGTCACTTACTCTGTGGATTCTGCTTGATGTGCTGAGGGACAAGTACATTTTTAGCCTCGCAAAATGTATAACAGACCACCAGCTGGCCATCTGAACAACAAACACACACACACACACACACACACACACACACACACACACACACACACACACACACACACACACACACACACACACACATACACACACACACACACACACACGCACACTAGGATCATACTTTGTAGTTTGTTTTGAGAAATGAAAACAATTATTAAGGACAAGTATTGGTCTATTCAGATTGTCAGTTTTATGTGCCACCTTTGCCGTTGTAATTGAATGCTAAGCACACCTCCATAATATTTTCGTCATTTTAATGTGATTTCAATAATTGCAACCAGAGCTTAAATTCTACTCCTTGACTGCAATAAATATCTTTAGTAGAGCAAAATTTAGTACAAAAAGAACATATTATTCTGTAAGATTAAACAAAGTGTTTGTTTACATGCAGTAAAAAATTTGTTATTAGTGGCTAAAATCTGAGAAAAAGCTGTGGATGTGCATAACACAGATGATCCAGACTTACTTATTGTCATTTTGCTGTGTTATCGGAGTGATTTTTCTCTGTTCATCCATATAAAACTCAAAATGTTTACCTGAACATTAATAAAAACTAGATTATGTACAGTGGAACTCTGATTCAACGAGCTCGGATTCAACGAGATGAGATAGATTCCCCGTTTTTTTTCTTCTTTAAAATCAATAAAGATAGCCTGGATTCAACGAGCACTTAAATTAGCGAGCTCGGATTCAACGAGGTCGCTTCCAGGGTGAACAGCTCCTGCAGATGTGGCTTCGCTAATTTTTCTCCCAGAACGAACTTTATCTATTCCCGGATTCCCGGAAACCATCCATTGCACTTGCATCGCGAACCATTATTCACTTAGCCGATTGCAAACGACCAATCAGCGGCCTTTTTACATACCAACACATGCATTGTTGGCACGCGCATGTGTCTACTCTGGCGTGTGTCGGGGTCGGATGGGCGGCCTGCATGCATGTCAGGGGGGTGGGGGCAATAGCGGTCCCGGCGTTGAACGTTGCAGATACAAACGCGTCGGTCTTTTTTCCCCCTCAGCAACTGATCATTATTACAATGATAAGCTAGTCTTGACGTAGATCTACATAATGAATTGTGCATTGGTCTATGGATCAAAAGTTGTTGTAAGCTAGGCTCTACACAGCAACACAACTTTTTGGTAAACAATTAAGATGACACAGGCGTGCATTTGAACGAATCGGTCATTTTTTTTTACACAGCTCATAATGTGCAGGCATTTCAGGCACTACTTGTAACTTCTCTTTGCACATTACTTGCTCAGTGCCTGTAATTATCTACATAAAACCTCATGTTTGCTATAACGAACACTCGGATTCAACGAGATTTTAGGTCTGGCCCGGCGACCTCGTTGAATCCGAGTTCCACTGTAGAGGCAAAAACAGTAAAGTAAAATGAACAATGATTGGGCTTGAGAAAAAAGAGGACCCAATAACAACCCAGTGTGAAACTGATACCTGAAAGTGATGAGATTAAAGTGAGCAAAAGAGAAAGACGCTACCGAAGGATAAGTAATTTTGCGTTGTTTTGTTAATATGTTTTTCTTTCATCAACATTGTTTTTCAGACGGCAACCCTCGCCAAAGAAAAAGAAGGCCAGAGGAGGTGGAGGATGGCGTTGTACAGTCTTGTAAATATTGGCTCAAATTTAATGTGATTTCAGACTCAGCTCTCAGCACAGATTGTCACTAAGCAAATTTACAAATTAATTGGTTATGCTTGTTGGAATTGAGCAAGTCTTGAAATGTAATTAGACTTTGTTCCCTGTGGTTGAAATGTCATGTACCACCTTGAGTCACAGGGACACATAAAACAGATTTTACACGCTGTTGTGTTGCCAATAGCCTGGAGAATCCCTTCTTTGCAGACCAGGAAGTTCGCCTTATACAGTATCTTTAGATATTCATTCTAACAAAAAAATTCCTGGACCTCATGCCAGCATCGTTAACCTGGTCATAAGCTATAAAAGTATGATTCACAATTAAGTTGTATGTCAGATAAAATGTTATGTGCCTATGTATAGTTCATTGATGATTTTGATAAACTTCATGTTCGTTCTTTTAAATCTCAAGCAGAGCAGTTAATGCTATTTACCACATTCCATGTGACTTTTAGCTTGTTTCACTTTTATAATTCTATTGAATCTTGTTTGGTATTGAAATTATTTCATGTCAAAGTGTTTTCTGCTCAGATGTAATATATATATACTTCAATTGTTCTTTCTTTACAAGACATTCTTTTGTATAACAGAGCCCCCCTCCGCCTCTCTCTCTCTCTCTCTCCAACCACCACGGCCACCCACCTCTACATACCTTTTCAATCTTGATTCCAGAGTAGACTTCAAAAACAGATGCTTTTTGTACACAAGTATAAAACTGTACCTACTCACTATTCCCAACATTTAGCCTCGCTTAAGTGTTTTCTTTTTCAATGTAGAAGTATTTCCATCTGTTGCTTTTAGATTTAGCAAGATTGTTGCTTGATAAGGTATCTGTGGATTCATAGTATGTGTTTGTACATAAATACATACAGGGAAAGTTTTATAATGTTGCTATCAAACATCAGGAATTGATATGAGATTGGCCGCTTTTTTTGTCATTGATATGTCCAACATTTTTTGTGCCTGCCACAAACTGCATGTTTTCTCCAAAGAATAATGAATTGTTGTTCTTAGTGAAAGATTGCAGCACAGAGACTTTTGTTTGACAAAGTATCTGTTATGTCTTTTGTGAGTGCCCTCCTGCAATTTGACTTTCTCTTCTTCAAGTGTTATCCCTGAACTGGGTGCAAATGTTAGTGTACACAACATTTTTCGCATCCTCTTTTTTTGAAGTCGACGTTGAAAGTGACTTACTTGGTTTCGGCAAGTAGAAACAACATTGTGATAATTTTTTTCCTCCTTGGGTTGGATCACAGTGATTGTTTGATGATTGAGGTTTGCTTTCTATTTTGACAGTAAATGCTTTTGAAAGCAACTATTCAGTGATAGAGGCTTACTGTCTTTTATCTTCTTTTTTAAACTATTTGTATCACTTTAAACTGTTGTCAAATTTATGTGTAACATTGTAAGATGATAATGTTGTTGTGATAAGCTTTTGTGTTTTTCATGATATTGCTTATTTATTATTGGTGTTTTGTTCTCTATACTCTGTGCGCGTCAAACATTTTCAGGTGCAAGTTCTTGTACTGATACTTAGACTATGTCACAAAATATGAATGGTCAATAGTACTTTTGGGTTTTAAAAGGCCTTAATGCATTTAACTGAAGGACGGTTATTGAAATTTTTACAGTTCTATTTCATATATGGGACCATGGCACAAATCATTCATGACTTACTTTATATGTTGAATGTTCTATAGTCCAAACCCTGTCACTGCACAACTGTGTGTCTGTGCGTGTACATCTGCATGTATATGTATGTTCATGTGTGTGGGTGTGCATGCTTGCATGCACTCATGTTTGTATGTAATTGTGTGCATGACCTGTTCTTCAGCTCCATGGAAGTTTTGAAGAGGAGGACATTCTCGTAAAATGAAAAGTTGGTTAGTTTGTTTTGCTCTTGTGTAGCTCATTTTCTGTACATGCTTTAAATAAACTAAGACAATTTGGTAGGTTGTGATAGAAGAAAATCATGTGACTGGGCTTCACATGTCAGAAAGGTATTTCTAAATCTACTTTACCACATACACAAGTATACATATACTTTTTTCCCAAAGTTTCCAAATTTAACTCCTGTCACACCAAGTTATGCAAACCATTTTATAATCCTTTTATGTTGGATGCATAATACGTTTGATTTGCCTGTAAGACATGGTTTTATTTTTTCTAAAAAGGTTATTTTTCTGTTTCTATATGGGTTTGGTTTGCTGGCTCTGACCTTCTATGATTTTCAGAAAATTTCTTTTTGTTTTCAAATGAGTCAAACTCACATGTGCCATCTTTCCAGCGACGACTTGTTTTGTATGCCCTTGTGATGTGTTTAAAGGGTGATGATGCACCAAACTTGCTGTGCCATGTGGTGAGATGTCTGATGATTTGTGATACTGAAGAAACCCTGTGTCAACCCTGTGATGTTCTGTGACTGATTTGCTACCACACTGGTCATGACGCACTGGCTCTGTTGTGATGTTTTCATGTTTTTTTTGTCAGTTTCATCATAATGTTTATGACGGTTAGATATTGTTTTACAATGGTATAAAAAGAGTGACTCTTAAAACCCAATGAGTTTCCTGATTCCCTGTAAGGACTTCTCTGTTGACATCCACCCCTTTGCGACCTTATGCAGTTGCGAGTGCCGTAAAACCTCTACTAAAACAAACCCAATGAGTTTGGCTGGAATGTGCACTGGTTGGCCCTTACTCCCTGAGGAACAAACATGTTTAACAGTATACTTTGTCATGAAATTTTATGTTTTGTTAAGCATAAGAAATTTTACTTCTCCTTAAACTCATTTGATATACCTTTCAGAAAATGGGGTGGGTGAAAGCTCCTTTACCGGACCAGTTGGAGATACACTCAGGTCTTTTGACAGGCTGAGAAGCCGCACAAAAATAGAGGTTCACTATCCACTCTATTCTGTGCTCCAAATTGGGATGAAGTTATTTTTATAGAGAAATTTTGTCAGTGTATTTAGCACCCAAACCCATGTTGGTGACATGTGTTTTCAAGGCTGTTTTTGTAAATAATTTTTTTTTACACAATCTTTCTCGCTATTACTTTATCTTGGAAGCAAGGATTTATGGTATAGTTTTCAATGGGCCATCAAGAATTCAAACAATTTACACTGACAAAAATGGGATTTACATTTTCAGGTCTCCAAAAAGTTGGGTTTTTCCCAGTAATCAGTGGAATAGATGTGGGAATCTCATTGCATCAGTGCTGGCAGTTGACCTGCTTCTTTATGTTGACGTTCAGTTACTTAGAGCTTTATCGAGCTGGCAACAGTTTAGAAAAGTGGCGAAATGATTCTGCTGTCCCCAGTCTATCTTTCAAGAAAAGAACGGATTAGAATAGAACAACAACAATAATAGATTAAAAGGCACTGGGAAAAGTGCTAAGGCACAAAGAATGTTTGGTGCTTTTAAAGTGAATATGATTTTCTGGATCAGTAATATGCGCTCAAAGGAAGTACTTGGTAAACATTAAGATAGATGTTTAGGAGATAACTAAATAAAGTGTTGACTAATTTTTCCTAGATTTAAAACAGATCCACTTGATTTCAAACTTTACATAAAGGCACGCTTTTGATCCTTTTCAATTACTGTGTTTTTAGGCAGTTGCATTGTAAAGAATATAGTTCTATTTAAGTCTTTTTTCTTTTGATTGTCGTTGGTACAAAGAGAAACCAAAAAAGGTTATGAATTTCTTTTATGTGGCTGTGTCTGGCAAGACTTTTCTTTCCTTTGCCTCTCAACAGGGAATTCTTTTCTTTCACTTTTTCACACCAATATTTGATGTATCTCGTTGTCTGCTTTTGTCCTCCTCTATGCAATGCATAATATGTCTCTATTTGTTTCCCTCTCTGGAAGAAGATTCATTGCTTTGAGAAATTGTTCCTAAGTGAAGGGAAACGCGTGAGTGCTGAAGAAATATTTACTGATGTCTGACTGTTTTCCTGTTGCTATCATTCATTCAAAGCTTTTGAGAATATTCTAATGCACCTGCAAATGTTTTATTAGGTTTCTGAAAACTGAGTAGAGATGCCTTTTTCTTTGAAAGTAAAACCATAGGAGGGACAAGACGGACCTAAATAACACTGGCCACAAAATATTAAACAGAAGGCAGATGCAGAAAATTGTGGCAACTTGTCCTAAACTGCATTCCCTTAAAATGACCAACCAGAACAAGATTTTCTGACCTGCATGTATGTGCTCCAACGTTGTGAGCTCAGAGATAATTCCTTTCTCACCAAGCACAATAGCCAATGTCAATAAAGTGTTGAACTTAGAGCTGACAGGTCCGAGAGCAATACATCAATTCTCTTTCATAGGTGTTGTGATTCTTTGACCATGAAAGTTTATACATGACCTTCAGGGCTGTTTCCTCCATTTTATACCTCATAATCGATCAAATCAAAAGTGATTAAAGATTTGTCAATTTTGATGTAGTTTACAAATATTCATTATTTATGATCATGAAATATTTGTTGCAGCACTCTTTGTTTAGTTTTGCTGAATTGCAACATTAATTTCAATGTGGAGATATGACTCATATAAGTGAATAATTGAAAAAGATTTGGAAAAGCTTTGGACCTAAGTTTGCTACATTTCTGTCTTATGCTTATTGATTATGGGCAGCAATGCTTAAAATTTTTTCAGTTTTTATAACTATAATCATAGATTCCAATTTCTACTTTTAGAGGCTGTATTGCAGTGTGACTGAGTTTTCATGATATTTTTTTTTCTCCAAAAATTGGATTTTTTTGTAATTCATTTGTTAGAATTCGCCGCTTATACCCTTTTGGGTGTCGCAGGAAGAAAGAGATGTCTCTCTGTCGCCTGCCGGAGAGCTTGGGTCAGGGGGATGCTGTGAGTGGTTAGTGTTTCCCTGACTCCATCTATCCAGGTCTTTCTTGGTCGCCCTCTAGCCTTGTTGCCATCGAATTTTTGTAATTAATAATAGGTTTAATTTCTTATTATTGAAATAATGGCAAGGAAAATTAAGTTGAATGTGTACAATTATTTTCTTAATTGGATGGAATCAATACGGTTGATTGAAAGTTTTTCCGATTCAGTTCATAATCCAAAGTCCAAGCAAAATAATTTGGAGCTCATTTCTCTGACTCATTTTAAACAATGTCAGTCTTTGGGAATGTTTTTGTACCTTATGGTAGTAATGTAGTTCATCTGTATCAAATGCACTTGTTTATATAATATTTGTATATTTTTGAATTATCCAAGAATGTCAATGTTACTGATGTTTTTCTGTGGTCCCTAAGCCATTCCAAAAGTAATTTCCTTGTCATGCTGTTACACATTGCCTGTTTCAGCAGTTGTGGATTCTGACACAGTAACAGCTGGTCGGTGGGCTCTCTTGTAGAGTCTGTTCAGCGTTCTTCCTTTGTGGTGTTTTCGTTGTCCTGGTTGGCCTACAGAAATGACTATACTATAACTGTGTGTTACCTTGTGGGGAAAAGGAAAATGCAAAGTCCATGATTTACTCCTTATTTCACTTAAGAATGAATTTGGTCTCTGCTTGTGGTTTCTGTGTTTGTTAGTTAGAATGGAGGGGGGGGGGGGGTTGCATTCATTTGATCCTGTTCAAGTCTTGTCTTTATTGTTTCACTGTAGGATGTAGGGTACTTTTCAACTAAATGTACCTGGTAGGCTTTTAAAAAGCTTTGCCTTTAACGTGGCTAAACCCAAATATAGCCTTACTTAACAGCTTTTGATAAAGAGAATGGTATTGACAATAAAGCAATGGGTCATTCTGAAGATGGTTATAGGCAAAGAACTGATTGTCCTTCACCAGTTCAGATACCATGAAATTGGTTTTGTGGAAAATGTAATGAGTCATGTCTTGCACTATCATGCACTGTTGGTGACTCTGCTTGACTTACACTACACAGCATCATTAGCGTCTCAACACCCGGGTCTCTGATTAAAGCATCAGACTCCTAGTTGCTAGACTGAGGGTTTGATTCCCGATTGTTCTTGGTAGAATTATTACATTGGAAAGTTGATTTCCTTTATTTTTCTCTGTTCTTTACATGAGTTGTTTTTTAAAAAATCAGTTGGTACAGATGGAATATTATGTCAGTGGTAGCCAGGTAGCTAAATAGGCTGCAGAGTTTAAGTCTCTCAGGGAGCTGAGATGGTAAGCTTCAAATACATGAACTATAATGTGAAATAGTGCAACTTTGCCTTCAATATTTGAACGGGTTGAATTGGTTCAGTAGAATGTTAGTCCCTTTGTCTTGTGAAGGATGCATTTACTGCCTTTAAAACATGTGCCTTGCACATGCAAGTACTAAGCACAAAGTGGTTTGGAACTGGTCAAGGTGTACAGTTAGGGGAGCACTGTAAATGCATTCATTTGTGTGTCTTTAGCTCCAACTACAAACAATTTTTTAAACATCTTGGTTTAATCTTTCTGATTTGATTTTTATAATTTTTCTTATTTTACTTTGACAAGAAAAAATAAAGAGATTGTGGAGGTTTCTGATTTTTACCAGTAACATGAATGTACATCACCATCAAAACCAGTAAAAGAAAACTGTACGAAGCAGTGTATTGTCAGATTGTTTTATAAAACACCAACTTGTGTCAGGCTGAGGTTTGACTGGTGTGCCAGTGTGTGAAATGGTTACTCTAGATTGCCCAATGAGTGTCTGATGCTTTAGTAGTTTTTAAAATCACAACATGGAGAGCACAAGCCCTGTCGTACTGTGGAATTTTGTCTTTTCTGCTTATTTAGGCATCTGTGAATTATTTCTATGTTAGCCTTGATGATGAGAGATGCTCAAACTCCCCACACTGTGATTGCCATTGTGTTGACCTGTAAACTGCCAGTGTTGGATCTCTTTTGTACAGTGTATCCATGCCATTTGCAGAGTTGTCTCTTCAAGAAAAGAATCTGTGTTCCATGTTTTGTACCATGGAGTCTTTTGATTGTGTTTATTAAAACCATATACATTTTATATACTTTATGCTGTTTTTTCCCCCCTTTTGTTTTACAATTGTATC